GCAGAAAAGTGTACACAGGAGAGATGGCTTGCCAACTGGACATATGAGTTTCTTCAGATGTTTTAGAAGAATATGACTTTACTTCACAACCAAGGTTTTTCTGCTTTGATCCTCACATAAAGACTGGAGACAAGAGAAGTGGCCAGTTTTCTTCTTCCTGGCTGCCCCAACACATTCTTGGGAGTCTTCTTAGTTTACTTGCAAGAAAAAGCAGAACTTTTAGGCACTGACTATGTTTACCCCAATAGACAGTCTAGATGCTTGGGGTATATTTATTGACTGGATGGTGTGTTTGATACTTTATATGAAGTCAAATGTTTCTGAAAACTGGTACTTTTTTGTATTCCCCAAATCAAGTCTCTCCTGCCTTGGGCTAGATTTCTCAAACTTGTCTAAGTGTGACCTGTTGGAAACAATTTTGTAGAAGAAGAGAAAAAGACCATTTGTTTCAGGAGAACCCAAACTAGAAAGAACTGGAAGTTCAGCTCAAAATGCCCACAGGCAAATTTGCCATTTAAAACCAGGAGTCACATTCCTGTGGATGAGGTCATCATAACCAAGCACTGCAATCTGAAAATGAGGCCCTGGGTCAGTTCTCAGGGCCTCTGTATGCAGGAGTGATGGTGCAGTAGAAGAGAAAGTAAGAAGAGGTGGTGAAAGGAACCACAAAGGGTTCTACAATTGCCCTTGTCTGTCACTACAGGAGGAATGTCCCTTTGAGCAGCTGCTGCATTTGTGTGTACAAATTCTGCAAGATAATGAGTGTATGAATGGCATTGATGCCGGCCCCCAAGCAGGCAGCAGCTCTACCTCTGGCAGGGCACTTAGTTCACCCTGTTTGCATAACTCTTTTGCTTTAAAAACTATCCAGAAAAGTGTCTATGCCCAGTCATTTACAAGGTTAAGTGAAGACTAAGTGAATTAATCCTTCAGTTAAAGAAACTCTGTGGGACATGCAGAATATAAGGGCAAGGGTGAGATGAATACTACTAATAATAAAAGCCAACATTTATGGACAACTTAATATGTACCAGACCAAATGCTAAAATAAAACATACATTATGTATTCCTTCTAACAACTTATGAAGCACCCACTTACTACTAATGTAAAGGGAGGATAATTTCTTTAGAATCATATTGCTATTTGGCAGAACCAGGATTCCAGAACACAAGGTTTTAATATTCCAAGAAGCAGACATGTGATAATCAACTTTTTCCAAGCAAAAGCTGGGACATGTGGTCTAAAACATATCAGTTTACATTGGGTTCAATGGGAATGAACATTTGAAATTAGGTCTGCTGAGGAAAATTCTGGCAATAGAGTCACTGCCCTTTAAATACCAGAATAAAATTATGGATTGTATTCACTTTTCTTGCCTCTTTAGCAATAAGGATATTATGCCACTTATACTTATAATGAGCAATTAGCATCATCCCAACTGACCCATTGAAAATTAAAAATAGTTTTGCTTGGAGTCCATTGAATTATGGACATAAGTGTTTCTTGATTGATTTGGTAGAGGGTACAGATACTTCCAGCTATGGTTTCCTCTTGCTTTAAAAGGGTCATTTAAACAAGACACAATTTGTTCATAATCAAAGGTTTTTCAACGATTGAAATATATATTAAGTTTGTATTTTCTCTTTCTTGCAATACAGAGTAAATTGCATAACAGATTTCTGGGACAGGTGAGGTAAACAGAAAAACATGTCTCGTTATTTCTGATGTTGAACTCTTGCATCAGATTTTATTAAGGAATTATATGAAAGCAAGACACATTTTTATGCCTATCAGCAAGGCTAACTTTGTATGTAGAAGTCAAATAAGCAAATGATTGGCTAGAGTGATTTGAAAATTTCCTACTTAGCTGAGTTTAGTGGTGTACACCCAGTGGCTTTGGGGCTGAGGCAGAAGGATTGCAAGTTCAAAGCCAGCCTCAGCAACATAGCAAGGCCTTAAGCAACTAGTGAGACCCTGTCTCAAAAAAAAAAAAAAAAGATAAGAGGGGGATGGAGATGTAGCTCAGTGGTTAAGTATCCCTGGGTTCAATACCTGGGTTCAATATATATTTTATATATATAAAATTCTACTTAATCTATTTCCATCATTGTCAGGATAACAATAGAAATAGTTTAAGTTTCCTAACCAGAAACTGTGGCCAATTTGCCGAACTTCTATATCTGAAAAAAATGGAGATGTTTGAATTGAAATATGGGTGAGAGAATGGGAGATCTGAAGCCCTATTATCTTGGTTTCTTTTTGAACTTCTATCTATGCCCTTTTAAAACTGATGAACAACAGAGAAATGGCTAATCTCTGTGAGTGAGCAATCACCACTTAAATACTAGGCTAACGGATTTTGGCCTCAAGGATAGTTTTCATAGACTAATGAATTTGATGGGAAGGAAAAAATGCTTTGTATTGAAAACCTATTATATACCTGACCAATAGGTGTTTTGTACACCTCAGGTCATTTAAAACTCATAACAGTTCTGTGTGGTAATGACTGGGATGGAACAAGACTGAAGAGTAGGGAAAGCAGTAGCCCAAAATCTGGGTAGGAGCTGTTCTTGAAAGTTCCCAAAATCCATGTTCAGATTGAACATCTCACCACTTTGGATATGGAGAAAGGCAGAGCTATCCCATTGTAATTTAGTAGTAGCAGTTGCCTAAGATTATAGCTAGAACCAGAATTCACACTAACATTCCTTATTACATGTCTCTTGACTATAAAATGCACATCTTTCCTGATGGATGGGAAGGAAGTATACAATGAGAGGTTACAATGTGGTCTCACAAAGCCACACTGAGTGGCTTCTGATTCTTTCTCTACCACTCCGGCTACTTGTGATATCTAGAATGAGCTACTTAGTCTCTGTATGCCTCTTTTCCTCAAAGGAAAACATAAAACCTCCCCTTCATGTGTAGTGGCTATCTCACAGGACTGTCAAGAGATTAAATGTTTTAATACAGGTAATGAATGTGATATACAATAAGCCTGCAATAAGTTGAGACTTTATTATTATGTGTTATTATGACACAGATCAAAGTATAAATGTTATTCCTCCACCTGATCCTGAACTAGAGATCCTGGGCAGGTCCCAAAGTAAAGGGAACAAATTTTTTGGTCTCTGGTGAAAAAGAAACTTTGATATAGAAAACAAATCTTGCCCATTTCAGTCTTTTGCTTAGAATGGTCCTGAAGAAATATATTGTCTAACCCAAGTCCAATAAAAAGAAAATAACACTGATCAAGCTTATTCTTAAAGATAATATTAAACAAAGAGTGATCTAAAGCTAGGATAACAAGTTCCATGTAATTAAGGCCAGAAATTTAATATTTTCCTGTTTTAGCTGACAAAAGTCTTCCCTTTAAATGGAGATCCAAGGAAAACACAACACACACATAACACATGTGAAACAGTTATACAGTTTAACAATTCTTTGGAAAATAATTCCAATTAAAATTATGAAGTTAGAGTAGAACCTGATAATTAATCTATGTAATGAATCTACAATTTGTTGGATTCATTACTACAATTTACTATATTTAGGTGCTGAAGATGCAATGGTAAGATTTAGTTTTTGCCTTTAAAGAATTCATAGCTTGGTGGGGAAGAAAAAGAAGTTGCAATATAGTACAAAAAGAGTTTACATAGAATATACAAAGTACTAGCTTGGGAAACAACTCTTTCTGGAAAAAAACTTGGGAAGCATCACAAAAGAGAATCTTACTAAGCTAAAAATCCCATTAAATTATTTTGAACTATGACTACAGTGTAGATATACATTGGTTATTCTTAAAATTCAGAAACATATCAATCTAATGTAAAGTATGACCATGAACTTCTACTTATCTTTTTGCAGATTTGCTACACTGCAGGATTTGGGAATGGCTCTCTCCATCCCATCTCAAAATATGCTGCCATCTCAGTTCTCCTTGCTGCTCAACCAATTTCTGAATCATCATTTTAGGAGAGGGCTACTCTCCCTTCCTAAGTTTGCTACTGTAGGCACATATGAATCACCCCAGTTCCATTTGATTATTCAAACTAATGATCACTTACACTTGCATGAACTATCATGCAATATCATCACACTAGATTGCAGCTTTTAAATATAATATAAGCACTAGTAAACTGACACAGCAGTTGTCATAAGCTATGGAAGGAAACAGAGACAAACACATATATGATGAAAAGGAGATTACATAAGGAAAAAAGGAATTCCTCAAATGTGGTCAAAGACTCTTCCTGCCCTAGGCTGCAGAGAAACATTTAAACACTACAGAAAGAGATTTTTGAGAAACTTGGGCTACAAAAAGTTTAACAATTGTGCATGTGTTTGCTCATCTATGTTTGTAAAAATGTGCGTATGCATGAGTGTGTGTTTATATGTGTGTATACACGTGAACACATGTGTACTTGTGCATGTCTCTTATGAATATATATGCTTATGTGTAGTCATGCATGTATGTATATATGTGAATATTTGTATAGGTGTGTGTGTGTGTGTGTGTGTGTGTGAGAGAGAGAGAGAGAGAGAGAGAGAGAGAGAGAGAGAGAGAGAGAAAGGGAGAGAGAGACACCAGACAAGCTGCAAAGTATGTATAAGATATAAGACTTCTCAACTCCTGTGGGCTCGCTCTCCCTACCCCCACCTTTGGCATCTCCAAGACACAGGAGCGGAAGGATGTTCTGTGACCTGAAGCTGCGTTAGAAAGTTTGCTGTTCTTTAAAGACATTCCAACTGGGAACCTCATTGGTTACCTGCAGGATGTGGATTGTACAAGTCTGCCAATTCCCTCAGGAGGAAGGGACGGCTGTTGACACCCTGGGCTGAAGCTCGGTGGCCCCTACCCCCCTTCCAGGTTCCTAAATCTTTCCCTGCCTGCGGCTGCCGCTCTGCAGAGGCGGGCCAGCCGAGGCAGGCTCTGCCGCGGCGCTCGGGGCCCACGGGTTGGATTCGGCCCGCGGCTGGGGCGGGAAGGAGGGGAGAGGGCGGGGGCGGCAGGAGGCCATGCCTCCAGCTGCGGAGGCTGCCGCACAGCTGGAGCGGCCGCGGTCACCTGCGCGGCGCCATCGCCCTTGCGCTCGCAGTGTCCAGCCCGCCACGGCGGACTTCACAGTGCGCGGTGAGAGTCAGCACCGAGGGCGCCCGGCGTAGGCGGCGGCGGGTGTGGGCCGAGCCGGTATTTATAGCTCGGTGACAGCAGCAGTGGCAGCGACGCCGCCGGTCCGTCTTGCTGCGCTTCCCAGCGAGGCCGCCGGCGCGCCGGAGGGCTGTGCTTGACCCGGTCTCCCGTGTGCAGTCGCCCGGAGCCTGCGCAGCCCCTTCGGTGAGTACGCGGCCCCGCGCCGGGCGCCTCCCCCGCCCTGGTCCCGCCGCAGCCCAGCCCTGCCGGCCCCGCTGCCCGCAGCCCCGCTGCCTCCCGCGACTGTGGAAGCGGCCGCGGAACGCCGGCCCGGACCCCGAATTCCCCCGCGCCTTCTCTCCTCCTTTCCGGAGGATGTTATCGAAAGAGGCTGGGTGAAGTGTCAAGGAGGCAGGCAAACGCACCAGCCCTTGGGTAAGGGCAGAGGAGACTTCCAGGCTCCAGGATCTTGGTGGGAACCTCAAAGTCCTGGGCTCCAGGCGGTAAAAGATGGTAGAACAGTCCTTGAACTTTCTTCGCTTCAGTGATTCCTTGGGTGGGACCTGAACACAAGCCCTATTTTTGTTAATTAAATTAACAGGTTGCAGTTCATTGGTGTCGTCCTTAAAAAAAGGGGGGGATGGGTGGGCAGAGAAATAAAAGAGAGAAGAAAAGAGGGGCGGGGGAAGAGAGAGAGACAGAGAGAGAGAGCGAGCGAGCGCGGGAGAGAGACAGGGAGCGCGGGAGAGAGAGAGACAGACAGACAGATCCATTGACTTGACTTGAGTATTTGAATGTTTGCTAACTTCATCCTGATTAAATAAAACTATTTTTTTTCTATTTCTATTTTTGAAAATGCCTTAGGCCCACAAATATGTTTGACCAACGAGGTAACATTTTGGCTGCCATTATTTATTCAACCCTCTGTGAAACAATGAAGTGTGTATGAGTGTGTGTGTGGGTGGGGGGGGGGTGAAAGTAAACATCACATGCTTACTTTAGTATTTATATGTAGATATGTCTCAGGAACCAAAAAGAAACAAAATGTTGACTAAAAGAATGGTTAAATATAAGGTCATGCATTTCTCCTCTAATTATAAGTGATATATTGGCTGACACGCAAGAAAGGACCTCTGGGATGCTTTTGGGGTTTTGTTTTGTCTTCAGAAACAACTACTTCCAATTTATTGAATATAAAAAAATAGTAGAATTCCTGTAAAATTCTATTTTTGTTATAAAGTATTGACTTAAAAAAAAGTCCTAGCTATACTTTCTTTTACTCCACCAGACTTTGGAGTTTAAAAGCAATTAGGGGTTTTGACATTTTAACTCAGATAGTTATCCCTCTCCTCCCACCTTTCATTAAATCCATGTGATCAGAAACCCACCAGTACTTGTCAGCTGGGCAGTTTGGCCCATGCCTGTAATCCCAGATACCTTGGAGGCTGAGGCATCAGGATTGCAATTTTAAGGCCAGCCTGGGCAATTTAGCAAGACCCTGTCTCAAAATAAAGAGGCCTGGGGACATAGCTCAGTGGTAAAGTGGTTGCTCAGCATGTGTGAGGCTCAGAGTTCAATCCCCAGGATCAAAAAACAAAGAAAAGAAGCCAGTACTTGTCAGTCTTATTTAATTTGCTTGCTTAAGCTTCAGTCATTTAAAAAATAAGTTCAGACATGTGACTTTTATTTAATATATTAAAGAATACTTAATGAATATTAGCTTTGGCATTATTGATAGAGTGTGACCATGGCAATTCATTCTTTATCAGAAGCGGATGCCACTGAAAAGGACATTCACATTTTTAAAGAATTTATTGGTTACTGTTTGATTCTTTTTTTTTGCTTTATAACACAATGGGACTTTAAAATCTTTTGCCATTACAACAGAGTTGTCATCGTCTAAAGGACTCAGACCTACTTCATTTTCAGATTCTGTTTTAAAAACTTTCATTGATTGTTGTCCCAAGGACTGCAGGATAAAAAGGGAAGGAAACCACTAAAAGGTAGAAACAATATGAAGAGAAAGTCTAGGAAGTGATTTATGGTTGGGATCCTCTAAATTAGCTAGGGCATCACAAATGCCGTCCTGGTATCTATGCAGAACCACTTATGGCGGTTTCATTGATTGACTTAAAAGGTTGCTTTTTATTTAAAAGGCTGTGTGGTCTTTTGTATTGGACCTAAAGTAAGAGTTTCAGCTTTACATTTACATTGTTATTATTGCTATTTGTATTTCTTAAACCTGTATTAAGCACTTGCATTATGTAAAATGCTCTGTATCATTTCCCCTTGCCTGTCTTCTATAATCATCTAGGATTATATACTATGATCTGTCCTTACCTCAGAGCTGGTATATTCAACATATATGCATTTGGTTTATTTATTTTTCTATCATTTCTCCTTTTACAGACTTGGATGTCCCATTATTCAGAGTCTACTGTCTCTGGAATGGATTCTTCAGTGTTTTTTTTCCTCACCCAAGGCTGGACTGTTATCATCTATCTGCATGTCTATTTATTCATTTATACATTCATTAGCAAATATTTATTGAATGCCCACTAGGTGCAAGTCATCACCTAGTACTTGCTCTTCCTTCCCATTGAAACTTTATTCTGTATTTTATACTTCATAGTCAAGGCAATATGACAATAATTAAAAGTATTAAGTTTAGTGTTATATAGACGTAGTTGTACCTATTTCTGCCAGTTGGTAGCTGTATGACCTTGGGAACATTACAACTTCTCTGAATCTCTTTTTCTTCACTGGCCAATACAAATAGTTGCTGTAAGGGCTAATTGAGATAATATGTGAAATGTGCATTCCAACAGCACAACACATAAAAAACATTCAAAACTGTTAGTATGAGTATGATTCCTACATCTACTGAACCTCTGTCCATCTCAGGAAATGGCAGTTCTATTCTGGATTTTGTCTAGGTCATGTCCACATCCAATCCATGAATAACTCTTCTTTTGTGTGTGTGTGAGGTGGTACTGGGGATTGAACTTAGGGGTGATTTACCAGTGAGCTACATCGCTGGATTTTTTAATTGTTTATTTTGAGACCGGGTCTCCCTAAGTTGCTCAATGTCTTATTAAATTGCTGAGGCTGGCCTCAAACTTTTCATCCTCCAGACTTAACCTCCTGAGTCATTGGGATTACAGTCATGAGCCACCATACTTGGCTCCCTTAATAACTCTTATTGGCTCTTCCTTTTGAATGTGTCCAGAAGCTGAGCTGTTTAAATTCTTCCTCTATACCTGTGTGGTTCAAGGTACCTGGCAATAGCTTCCTCAATAACTTCCCCACTTCTGTTCCTTGCCTCCTACAAAGTATTTTGAACCAGCAGACAAAGTGGCCCTTTTTGATATGAAAGTCCGATTCTATCACCATTTCTCTCTGGGTGAAAGCTCACATCCATAGGATGGCCTCAAGGCCTGATCATGATGAAATACTTCCTCCTAGACTGCATCTCTTCTGTATTCTCCAGTACCACATTCTGTCCAGTCATTTTAGCCTTCGTATACTACCTTAAATGCACCATGCATGCCCTGGCAACAGGCCTTTCCAACTTCTGTCCCTCTATCTGGATTGCTCTTCTTCCATAGATATTTCCTTGCCTCTGGTCCTTCTTTCATGTGTGTCTTCTACTATCAGCTTACAGTGAGACTTTTAACTTCCCTCACTCTTGACTCCCTATTAACTTTTCCTTGCTTTAATTTTCTCTCTCAACTTTCTGAAATACTGTGTATTTAATTTTTATCTTTTGTTTTTTTCCCCCACAAAATAACTATCAGATGCATGGAAACAGGGATTCTATTAATAACATTATGATCCAGAATCTACTGTCTCTGGAATGAAATCCTCAGTATTTTTTTTCTTATCTCAACCTGGTCTGTTGTCTGTTTTCAACAACACATCTATTGATTCATGAATTTATCCATCAGCAAATATTTGTTGGCTGTCTTCTAGGTATAAGTAACCTCAACACATAGGCTACTGCCTAGCACAAAATAGATAATTGGTAAATATTGAACAAGTGAATTAATGAGTGTTATTATGGAATAAAATTTGACTTCATCACTTTTTATGTATGATCATTTCACTATTTTGCTTTGAAATGTTTTATGATTTCCTAATCTCTTCTTAGTACAGACCAACACTTTTTAAATAATATTCTTTGAATTGGCCCCAAATCATTCTTAATTCTCACAAGACACTTCCAAACACCTTATGTTCCAGCCACACAGAACTACTGATATGTCTCTGCATTGGTCCCAGGTGATTTCCCCTGTGCCTTTAATCAAAACATTCTCCTATTTGAGAGTCTTACATCTCTCCTTTTTATTTTATTTTTTTTTGTTCCTTTGCATTTCTCTGAAATATTGGTTTGTACTAAAATTTCTGACTTTACAAATATGCAGTATAAATCTTGTTCCCCCAGAGTTAGAAACCACGAAAGGCCTATGAGTTTTCAGTTTTAGCCTATTCTTACCAAATATCATTATTGTTGCTATTATATGAAAAAGCAGAGGATTCTAAAATAGTGGCATCTACCTAACAATGTCATTACTTATGAGAAGGAATTAAGTTTGTGTGAATTAGTCTTGTTTTGAGATGCAGAATGCACACCAGTGATGTTCAGCAAAAGGACAATCAGATCAACTCAATTACTTATACTGATGCTCAAAGAAGAAAGAATTCAAGTACTCCTATAGTTATATGATTCCCATTTTTTTCTGATTATGCTACCAAGGTCAATTTGAATGGTAATAATAGATCCATTCGTCCTGGAAGCACTGTGAATATTTTACATCGGATGGTTTTATTATCAGAAACTTTCTAACCAACATGTAAACAGCAAGACATTGGAATTTATGTTGTTGTACAGGAAAGGCATAGTATAGAGTGTTGAGGCCAGGTAGCTTTAACTTGAATCTTTGTTCTGATATAGACAAGTTTTATTCCTTCATACAACCTACTAAATTTGTGGGTTGTGGTGGTGCATACCACTCAGGAGGCTGAGGCAGGATCACAAGTTCGAGGCTAGCCTTGGCAACTTAGTGAGACCCTGTCTCAAAATAAAAAATTAAAAGGGCTGGGAGTGTAGCTCAGTCATAGAGTACCCCTGGATTCAATTCCCAATGCCACACAAACAAACAAACATAAGCAAAACAACAATAACAGCAACACTGTTAAACTGTTCCTCTCAGTTGCAACATTTGAGAAATGGGGAAAGTAAGAGCATTTTCCTCACTAGGCTGCTATTAAACTTAAAAGAGATGCTTATAAAGCTCATGAGTATATTATTTGGCAAACAGCAAGTCCTCAGTTAGTGTTATCCCTAAGTGATGATGATGATGATGATGATGATGATGATGATGATGATATGTGGAGCCTGGCGCTAAAATGAAATGGGGTTGGTTGTGTGTGGGTAAATCAGTAATGTTGCTGGCCAAGTCATTACTGCAGTCTTTGAATCTGGCTGCTTTTCTCTTTTCTAGTGGAAGTTGAATGTAAGGTTGCTCTGCCTTTTTCTCATTTCACCTAAACAATGAAGGGGTTTCTCTTTCTGAGTGTTACCACTCAGATCATTCATATGTGTCTATGGATTGCCCACTGTGAGCTCAGCATCATGCTATTCCCAAGAAGTAAACAGCCTCTTATGACCTCTCTAAGGAGTTTATAATAAAATAAAATGATGAAAGGATCAATATCAGGGTCCTGTTTCATTCTGCTAGTATTTAAAAGTAGAAATGAAGTATGAACTTTAAGCATGATGAAAAATGTCTTACTGAAAGAAGCACTTCCAGCTATATGGTATATTAGATAGATTAAGGACTAGGTGTCAATGTGGATTCAAATTCTGTCTCTTCCACTTGCTGAGTATGTGAACTAAATGGACAATTACTTTGAGCCTTCATTTTTTCTTAACTGTAAGAGTGACAGTAGCATTCATAGCATTACTGTGGGAATTAAATGAGATTAGATACTAGTACAGGATTGTTGCTCAGTACTATAGTTCTCTCTCCTGAAATAGCATAAATTTAGGAGAGGAACAGCTGTCTCCAAATTTTTTTGCATGTTCTAATTTAACTTGGGCATGTGGAAATTATATAGCCCACAGGCAAGATTCTGAAGTTAAAAATAGCAACAAAATAAGTATATGCTAGTCCTCCACAAAGTATTTTTAAAAAAGAATCAAGGTCATGTAAATTCAGTGGTCTAAATCCTGCTGTCTTGATTATGTGTGTGCAAGGAAGGAGAGGAGGTGGTGGTGGCTCTCACTAGAATCCCTCACTGCTAATGGGTGCCTCATAGGAAGTAACTCATTTTAGTAACTATCTAAGGGATATCTTTGTGCAGTTCTGATGGTCATGTAGTACAAGTCCTTCCTCAAATGTCATTGGTCCTTGAGATGGTTTTTGTGAATTTCTTTTTGGTGGTGGTTTTTGGATACTTCCAAAGGTGTTGTGTGAAATTGAAAACTGACTCATTTCTGCATTTGTACACACTAAATATCATGAAAATGCACAATGCTCATTTTTGTACTTTACTACGTGTTCTGGTCTCTGGTGTGAGAACCATACACACAGGTCCTTGCTGCTATTGTGGGTGATAGTCTTGTGGAAAGGAAGAAAGGAAAGAAAGAAGGAAGGAGGAGAGAGGGAGGGAGGGAGGGAAGAAGGAAGAAAGGAAAGAGGGAAGAACAATTAAAGAATCTTGAGAAAGCCACCATACCTAAGTGATCTGAGCTGGGAACAGATATTTCAGAGTGTTCACAAAGATCATAAGGGACTTGAAATTGCTTAGAAGGCTTATGAGTCCAAGATTGTAGTGATTATGGGTTTGGCTGAATTTTATTGCCAATTCTTTTGCATGTTTACATTGATTTTCTAAAATATCTGCAATGTGCCTTCATTAACTTAGATTGTGAGTTTAATTGACATTCATCAGCCCAGAGTATTGGATTGAGATTTGGGACCCTTGGAAACTATTCTCAGATCTTTCGATGATTTAGAAGCACTTCAGGCTTGTGGTGTAATCTTTGGACTTTTTACCAGTTGTAAAATGATGTTTGTCAATGGATTCCCCTCCCCCCCCCAAGTGTCCAGGATCAGTGAAGGATTCTTTTACTTACATAATCTTCCCTGTCCTATATAAGTATATAATTGTTTCTAAAGAAGAATGTACCTCCAAAAGGCATTCTTGGGATTGGGCTCTGGATCTTTCCTTTAAGAAGGAAAAGTGCTACAAAGGTTGGCAATGGTGCCTTGGGGTCATACTTCAGAGGCTCAGATCAGCTCTCTTTTGCTGAGTGACTTAGGGAAAGTGGCATAACCTATGTGAGCCTTAATTCCCTCCCTGTAAAATAAAGGGATGGGAATGATAATAGTATTTCAGGGACTTATTATGACAAAAATGCTGTAATGTTGCAAGCAGACATCCACCAGAGAGCCTGTCATGTTAGGGACTATAGACTTTGCAAGGGTCCTTCTTCTCTCTCCTTCCTCTCTGAAGTATAAATAAATTGAGAAAGAAGAAAAAGTAAATTGGTTGATGGAAGTCAAATTGCTGCCTTTATTACTTTTGTTTTCAAGATTTAAAGAGTTTTATTGCTGAAAAAAGCAGATGTTACTTAGTATGAAAGCTAAATGAGTTCACCAAAATGAACTCTAGAATTGGATATCTACTCACAAGCCCTGGTAGGCCTAGACAAACCTCCCCATGTAGGAGTTACAGTTTTTGTGCTTTCTGGGAAGGCTTGTTCCTGAAGAGGAAAGAGGGCAGAGCACAGTGAGACTTTGAAGGTGGGGCCTGGACATTCACACTTTGAGATGGCAGTGCTTCCAGAGTAAATTTGCAGACCCGTTGCTGTAGGCACATTATGAGTTTTTGCAAGATCTCTGTGCCTTTGGGTATTACAAAAGGTTACACACATGTGTGCATCTATCCATGTATAGAAAGAAATTGGAAAGTTTATTTACCAAATTTATTAAGTGATGACTTTGAGGAGAGGGATTTAGGCAGAGGAGAATGTTTATTGGGTGTTTTATTGTTGTTAATATGTGTTCACTTTACTTTTATATTATTTCATTCTTTAGATGGCTATGGTTGTAAGGTGAAATAGTCTAAAAGAAAAAAAAAATGGTGGCTTTGGTCTTATTCCCTGTGCTTCTTCCTTCCTTTGTCATCTCGGTCATCATCCCAGTTTTGGATTGTGTCCTGCCCTCTCATGTGTCCTGTCCTCTCATTTATTCCTTTTTTTTTGGCACCAGGGATATTGAACCCAAGGGTGCTTAATTAACCACTGAGCCACATTCCCACCCTGTTTATTTTATTTTATTTTTTTATGTTTTATTTTGAGATAGGGCCTAGCTAAATTGCTGAGGCTGACCTTTAATTTACAGTCCTCCTGCTTCAGCTTCCCAAGCTGCTGTGATTAAAGGGAAATACCACCACACCTGGCTCCCCCTACTCTTTATTCCCCCTCTTTACCAAGTTCCCAACTAGTAAGAGGTATGATTAGATAGTAGAGAGGGGGACAATATTAACTTTCCTCAACCTCAGACTTGTCTTGGTGCCACAGTAGGAACAGGCATCAATCATCTCATTCAGGTACCTCTTTGCTGAGCTGTTGTAAATCTGACAAAATAACAGGAAGAGAATGCTGCTTGTTTCCCACTCTAACTCTGTGCCTCTCTTCTCACACAGGTAAACTGCGGCATTGAAGTTTTGAAGGATGGGTAAAGACTTCCGCTATTATTTTCAGCATCCCTGGTCTCGCATGATCGTGGCTTATTTGGTGATCTTCTTTAATTTCTTAATCTTTGCGGAGGACCCAGTTTCTCACAGCCAAACAGAAGCCAATGTTATTGTTGTTGGAAACTGTTTTTCATTTGTAACAAATAAATACCCTAGAGGAGTTGGCTGGAGGATTTTGAAGGTGCTTCTATGGCTACTTGCCATTCTCATAGGACTAATAGCTGGCAAATTTCTCTTCCATCAGCGTTTGTTTGGTAAGTAGCATAACCCATGAAATGTAATGTTGCTAATTATTTAATTTCTGTTCTCTAAGATAGAGCTCCTATATCACTAAATGCCAATTTAGATGCATTTTATTTTGTCCTCCAGCCTTAATTTGTAATGCATTGTTGTAACTAGATTCTTCAACTGTTTTCTCTTTAATAGTGTACTTTTTCACTGCCTAAGGAGTTAAATTAGCATGAAGTAAAATTAGTACCAAACTTCATTATAAATGGCTTTGGAGATAAATAAATGTGTGTATAATCTTATCTAGGGAAGACATGGAAATACTCCTTTCTCATAAGTAGTACCTAAGCGAGGTACAGTAAAGAGGTTGTAAATTTTAAAAAGAATGGCTCCTTATCACACTATATTTTCATTAAAGTAAGCTAACCATTGCCATTTAATGTTCATTCAGGGAATGAGAACCAGAACACTAACTTTTAATCCTCATTTTTAAAAAAGTTGGGTTTAAGATGTTTATTTTGTACCTATTCATCCACAGAGCAGTTCATTAGTAAGGAATCTCTTAGTAGTATACAATGCAAAAAGAGACTGAATTAGTTTAAAAGGTAACTTATGATGGGGATATTGGGATATTTCACAGAGACTAAGGATAGAGATCATTTTGGACTTTGGGATGGAATTGGGACCTTGAATTCTATCAGGATGCTCTTTGTCTCAACTTCTGTATCACATCTGCTTCATTCTCCTTTCACCCTGAAGATCTGTTTACATCCACCCAGAGAAGCTGGCTTGACTCTCCTGGTCCCAAGTTTAAACTCTCAGGAAAGGGACTGGAGCTGACATAGTTTGTGGTGGCTTTCACACTAGCCTAATCAATTTGACCAAGAGGTGGGTGATATTTATTCAGCAGATATTCATTCATCACTTATTACATGTCAGACCCTCTTCTAGAGAGGGAACCAAACAGACAAGGTTTCTGTCCTCATAAAAACTTACCTCCTACAGAAGAGAGATTAAACACATGTATGTCTAACATATAAAGAGGAGATACATGCCATGGCGGTAAAAGAAACTAGTTTTAAATGGTATAGCTGGATAAATTAAGAAGAGAATTTAATGAGAGAACTTTGCATTTGGAAATTATAAGATCACAGGCAACAAAATATTTGTAGTCTAGAAGTTGAGTTAGAAACAAATGGCAATGTTCTAAGGAATAAGCAAGAAAATATTCACATATATACATATAAATACAATACATATACTGTATAATCTCAATCTCTATTTCTCAAACTGTTGCCATCTGCTTCTATTACATATATATATATATATATGTAATGTACATATTCTATATTTATTGTCTATGTGCATGTGTATGTACATAGTTTCAAGAAATTTCTGAGAGAATGGAAGAAAGAAATGGGGAAGTAGCTTAAAATGGAAGACAGAGCGAGGGCAGGTTTTTGAGTTGGTCTATTGTTGTTGGTGGTTTTACTTAAGGGACAAGATTAATTGACCTGTCTACAGTTGCACAGGAATGAATTAGATTGAAGTGAAAATATAGAAGAAAGTATCTCTGAAGGTCTTTGGGACTTAGTATACAGGTTTAAATGGTGGCCTTAAGACAGGTCTCAAGTCCTAATGCCTACAAGGAACTAAATCATGCCAATAATCATGTGAAATGAGCTTGGAAGCTGATCTTTCCCTAGTTGTGCCTTCACATAAGACTGGAATTCCAGCCAACAGCTTGACTGCAACCTCATGGAAGACTTATAGCCAGAGGCTCTGAATTTTTGTGTAATTTGTTAGAAATCAACAAATGAAACAATATTTTGTTGTAGTTAAGGAAAAAGACAGGAGGAGAGACCCTGGCTCCTGATATTGGGCATGAGTAAGATAAAGGATAGCACTCTGATAGATAAGTTTCAGGTGGAGGAGCAGGGAGGGGAGTGTTGCTTTACCTGATAGGCTTCATTTTACTATGAAGAAGAGCTGAAGACAAACATGGAAGGGTTTGATGATACAGGGGCTAAACAAAGTGGTCAAGGGTTGGAACAGTGATCCTGGGGAGTATAGAAGTGAATAGACTATACACAAATGAAAGGATTGCTTACTGTCACTAAGAGCCAGTGAAGTTAGCCACCATAAACTTGAATGATATTAATCTGAAAGTTGAGCAGTTTTCTCTTTGAGAGCTCAGTCACCTGGAACACAATTTGAGTGTGAATCATCTGCGTGGGACTGCTCAGGCTTGCCCTATTGCAAACCAAAGATGGAAGATCATTGAAGAGATTTTGCAATAGAGTTACTAATTTAATCAACAGGGGGTTCTGAATGGACATGAAAAGGAGATGAAGGGAGATAATGGTCTGGAAGAAGTGGGCAAGGGCCTGGAGATTTGGTGGAAACTGAACAGGTGAAATGGGAGTAAGAAAAGGCACGGGAATGATGGGTGTGGTTGAACGACATGCTGTAACAGATGTAAAGTCATCCTGTAGTGGTGATTTCCATCTAGGGTGTGGACTTTTGAGTATGTGGCCAAAGTGGAGTTCAGAGACAGAGCATTGACACAGAGGGTGTGTAAGAACAGAGTGTTGGTTGTGTCATCTATCAAATACTGAATGAACATGATGTTGTCCATGATAATCATGGATAGACAAGGTTAATGATGGGTGGTAAGTGGGAGAGGGTCCTCTCAAAAAATGGGTAGAGAGTGTTAGGTACCAAAACAGTAAGCATCCACTACAATTAGTTGCTCAATGGGTTTGTAAACCACTTGGGGAATTTTTTTTTCAATGTAGCAAGCTATGACAAACTTAGACCAGACTATTCATTTTGGAGAAGTTGTTTTCCTTTATTAAAGATTGATTGAGAATCATATGGTTAAGGTGCAGGTGTTAAGGTGCAGGTCTTTTTATTCCTTACTAAAAAAAAAACCTGTGAAATTATATGGGGTCCTAGAGAAGAAATGATAACTTGTAAATCTTGGCAGGTAAGGATAGTGGACTTTCGATTCAATTTCCTGATGAACTCAAAGCTTATCTCCCCTTTCTGTTTTGCTTTATCTCTCTACATGGCCATTGTTTTATGAACTATGTTTCCTTGGTTCATGAACTCTAAATCATTTCCTCCTTATAATTTTCTCCTCCTCCAGTTCATATAGATCTAACAATAATTTTTCTATGTTGCTAAATGGCTCTTACCACCCACAGAATAAAATCTAAACTCCTTTTATTGATTTCCAAAACTGCTTATGACCTACTCCTGCCTGACTGCAAACTTTATCTCTTGGCATTCCATGCTGTACAGAATTATTTTTGGTTCTCAATCCTGCCATGTCGCCTTATGTCTCTGTGCCTTTTGCACTTGTACTCTGCATTGCCCATCATTCTCATTCCCCTACTGTCAACCTGGCTCACTTCTCTTTTTTCCTTCAAGTCCCAGTAAGCATTCCTTCCTCTGTGAGGCCTTCTTTGACTCCTTCCTGTTACATGTAAGGTGTCATCTTTTCAGCTCCCATTTGTGACCACAAGAACCAAAAGAGTACAACAGGGTGCTCTGGAACTGACAGCCTGAAGCATAATGGGAAGGAATCCAAAATTTAATGCAAACACAAATGTTCTTATTGGCTTTGTGTGTGATAAATGTTTCCATCCTTATTCTCAAATAACTAGCATTTATACATAATTCATCTTAAAAGGCTATATTTAAGCCTTTAACAATTTGTGGGTACAGCTTATGTTACATGGTGGTGATGAGGGTAATGATGATGGTGTCTTATGTTGGGAGGGGGACTGATAATTACAAGCATACAAATTTTATTACAGAAATATTGAGATGGTTTACAAATGATCAGAATAATTTTGTGGCATCAACTAAACAGTATTACTTTTTGGGGTTCTTTACTAAAACACCACACATAAATATTAAATAGAATGTTATTACTCCTTTCATTTCATTAGCTGGTAAGTATTCTCTCTTTTATTTTTATTTTTGGATGGGGGATTGAACCCAGGAGTGATTTACCACTGAGCTACATCCCCAGTACTTTTTAATTTTTTAATATATATTTTTAGTTGTAGGTGAACACAATTTCTTTATTTTATTTTTATGTGGTGCTAAAGATCGAACCCAGTGCCTCACAAGTGCTAAGCGAGTACTCTACCTATGAGCCCCAGCCCCAGCCCCTTATTTTTTATTTTTGAGACATGATCTTGCCAAATTGCTGAGGGTCTCACTAAGTTGTAGAGGGTGGCTTGCAATCGTCCTGCCTCAGCCTCCTGAGCCTCTGGGATTACAGGTGTGCACAGAGCCTATTCATTTAAATTTCATGATAGTAAATCTCATCTTTGAAAACATCAAAATGACAACACAACATTGTCAATTTAAGGCACAGTGATGAGGGAGAGAATGATTCTGTGAACACATAATAGAATCCAATTCATTGGTTATCAATTTTATTTTTCTATCAGACATAAATATTATAATTTTATAGTGATTTGGATATAAACATTGGGAGCAAAATGTAATCAGAAATTGATACATTCAAAATAATGTCTTTTATTAAAACTAAGTCTTATTAAGGTATTAGATTAAGATTTATGAAAATTAGATTTCACTGGAATGTCAGTTTATACTCTTCCAGTGCTTCTCTTTCCTGTTTGCTTGGATGACTCTAGCTTTGATGGGGGGAGGGGCAGGATATTTTAGAGATATTTATGAATAAAGAAATCCAAAGTATTATGCTGGTGAGAAGACATATACAAAGAGGAATTTAATTTTTTGAGCTTATTAAAGAATAATATTTATTTCAAAAATGAATTGAAATTATTTACAATTATATATATATATATATATATATATATATATTAATACCATAGGGATAGCAAATTAAGACCACTAAAAACAGGGAAAATCCAATATGTTTTGATTTCATGAATTTTGTTACCTTTCTCAGTTTGAGCTTCCTTGGAACCTGGGAAAAAGGAAGATGTGATATATTATATGCCTCTGGTTATTGTCAATGACA